ATTTTCATGAAAATATAAAATTAAAGTCTATTTCCATTTATTTTGAGGTATTGCCTTATTTAACATAATTACCTAAATTGTCAGGAAACGTGATGTCCTATGACAAAATGGAGGTCATTTTCGGATTCAGTGCACAAAAAAACATAAAGATTATGTGGAATAACAAAACAGCTCTCGAAAAAAGTTTTTTTTGCAGACCTGTGTTATATTAATATTATTTTGAAAGAGTACAGTTTTGAAATTTTGAATTTTTTTGTTTTAATGAAGGCTTTAAACCAGGGCAGCGTAAAGTTTTGTATACTTGCTGTAAGAGAAATGATAAACGTGAAGTTAAAGTTGCTCAGTTGGCTGGTTCTGTGGCAGAAATGTCTGCTTATCACCATGGAGAGGTGGGTATAGAAATAAAAAAAGTATCCATTTTACCTTTATTATTTTGGAAGAATAATTTTGCAAAGCAAGGTAGACAAATTTGAAAAGTTAGATCTTTTTGCTTCACCTGTAGTAACTTTGAGAGAAAAAAAATACTCCATTGAAATCCAAATTCATCATAACCATAATCATCATTAACATTGTTATTTGTAATGAATAATGTATACAATGATAATAACTTGATAATAAATGTCTTTATTATGGAGTGGCAATTTATTCCTTTTTCTAGCCTTGTTAAATAGGCTAGATTAAGTGGTTTTCTCAGCAATTTACACTGATCATAATATCGGATTTTTCCTTTTGGTAGTAACATAACTTTAATATTTTCTTCTAGCAAGCTTTAATGATGACAATTGTCAATTTGGCTCAGAATTTTGTTGGAAGTAATAATGTCAGCTTGCTACAGCCTATTGGTCAGTTTGGTACTAGACTTCATGGTGGCAAGGATGCTGCAAGTCCTCGTTACATTTTCACCATGTTGAGGTAAAGTGTAATTCAAAACAGAAATCTAAATAATACAGAATTGGGAAGTATGTTATTGTGGAAGGCAACTAGAAAGAAATACATAAGTATTTCAATTCCTTACTCCAGAAGTATATTTTGGTCAACTCAATGGCTATAGGATAGAGCACAATGATGAAAATTGTCCTTCAGAAGTGTGGAAGAAACACAAAACCCATAATCTGCCAAAAAAACAAAAATAAAAATACACCTTGACTTAATTAGATATTTTTGTAAGAGAAAGAGAGAGCCAAGTTGGTGTAGTATAAAGCACCAGGTTAGAAATCAGAATGAATTCTAGATTTGCCTTATTAGGCAGGAAGACTTTAGATCAATCACTGTTTTTCAGTCCTAGGAAAGAAACAATGACAAACCACTTCTGAAATGTTGCCAAGAAAACTACAGGACCCAGTTAAAACAATCATTAGGAGTCAACACTGACTTTAAGGGAGAGAGGGAGTCAGAGAGATTTCAATTTATAAAGTAAAAAAAACACCATAGCTTTATTTACTATTCAGCTTTTGATTTTATAACTAAAATGGAAATACATTTAAGTCCTAATCCAAACCTATATCTTCACTTTCTTTCTAGACAATAATTCTGTCACCCCTGTACATCATGGCTTTTGTTTTATAGGGAGAAATTAGAATGAAAGGGAAAAAATGGAAGTGTTTAAGAATAAGTATGAATAATAGTGTCACATATGTATATATGTTTTATGTATGTATGTATATATATATATACACACACACACATACATACACACTTTTTAATGAGATGGGAAGCTATGTAAATTTGCAAAATAAATAAATTGTATAATTTAATAAATTGTAATTTATACAGCAATTCAACTTAGCAAGTGATTGAATTACAAACCAAAATAACCTCAAAATTTTCTTTGTCTTTTCCTTAAAGCCCTTTAGCAAGATTACTTTTTCCTGCAGTAGATGATAATCTTCTTAAGTTCCTGTATGATGATAATCAGCGTGTGGAACCTGAATGGTACATTCCCATAATTCCTATGGTCCTAATAAATGGTGCTGAGGGCATCGGTACAGGATGGGCATGTAAGATTCCAAACTATGATACCAGAGAGATTGTGAACAATGTCAGACGAATGTTGGATGGATTGGATCCTCATCCTATGGTAATGCAATATTCACTGCAGATTAATGTAATATAATTTTTTTCATAAAGAGGCTAACTGTGGTTATTTACAGAGGGATAAATCAATGAATAAAAAAATATGGTTACAAGAAGATGAGACTAAGCAAACTATTGAATATTTTAATAGTCTATGTGCAATGTTCCAATTAAGACAGAAATCAGAAAGCAAAAATCAACAAAGGCTTTAAGATTTCGTTAGAAGAGAAACAAATCTGGTTCACAATCACAGTAAAGAAACTGTGGACAGAGAAAGACAAGTAAATCAGAAGAAATTGAGCAGCTAAAATCAGTGCAGTAAGATAATATTATTTGGTGCTTTCATCAATTTTTGATTGACTAGTAATGGTTTAAAAATCTTTTGTTGAGGACAGTTTGGCCTCATTTTTAAGTATAATTATAAAACAATTTACCTCTATTCATAAAAGTGTTAAATGCACAGAAATATTGCATTTATTTAGGATTTTCTCCTTAAGTTTTATTATATATTCCTCAAAGTATGGACTTAGTATTTCGGATACTCAAACCATATCCAAAACATGGCATCATTTTGAATGAACATGCAATTATCTATAGCCTGGAAAGCATTAGGATCAAATCCATCCTTTCCAATGCTTGCTTTTTCCATCCCATAGAGGAAAACCATCATCTCCAATCTTATTCCTACTTTCTGCAGGTGGTAGGATTTGGTTTTTTTTCCCTATTCAGGCCTATTTAGGTAGAGACTTTAAGAAAAAGATGCAGAGAAGGGAGGGAAGGAGGAATCAAGAAAACAAAATAATGAAGGAAAAGAGAGAGATAAAAATATAACCATAAACGTTTCCTGTAGCTTTGTTCTTTTTAACAAAGAACAAAGAACCTTCAGTCACATGGAACATGGCATGTAAAAGAAGCTGCAACAATCAGTACAAGCAGGAAAAATAGTTGACCTCCATTTGTTTTGCCCAAGAAATGGCTTGAGTAGAATTGTCGTTTTCGACTCCCTATCTTCCCTTTTTTTCCAAGCTGGAAAAACTGATACACATGCAGATGAATAATTCACTGGTGTTGCTGGTTTTCCCACTGGAGAAGATCGGATTAGATACCTTCTTATTCCTTCAAGATAGGAAAGGTCAGGAAATGAAATTATTAGGAGTATTAGAATCTACTTTTATAATTGGACATTTTCCATTCTGTCAAAAGCTTTTTCTAGTTCAACTTATACCTAACATCCTCACATCAGAGTTGATTTTCTTTATCATGCTTTATATTTTCCCAGAGTATAAATCTCTTCTCTTTAAGGCTTTACATTCTCATTCTACTTCTCTTTTATTCAAACCAACATTCCATCCCAGATCTCTCTATTCAGCTCAGAAGTGGCAGTGAAGGTGCCCCTACTCTCTCTTCTTCTCCCTGATAATGACAAAGTAGCATGGCTGAACATACAGAACACATGTGACCAGATAAATCTATACAATCAATTTATACAATCAAATGAGAAATCACGTTCTCACCAACAGAAGAGGTGAACAGAAAGAATCTGTTTGTCAGATCAGGACAAGACGATGAAGACAACATCTTATAGACCCTAACATTTTCAGAGATTATTCAGTATGGGCTTTTACAGCAAAATAGCAATTGCACTTAGACCTGTATACCGCTTCACAGTGCTTTACAGACCTCTCTAACTGGTTTTACCGAGTCAGCATATTGCCCCCAACAATCTGGGTCCTCATTTTACCGACCTTGGGAGGATGGAAGGCTGAGTCAACCTTGAGCCTGGTGAGATTCGATCTGCCAAATTGCAGGCAGCCAGCAGGCAGCAGAAGTAGCCTGCAGTGCTGCATTCTAACTACTGCGCCACCTAGACTGCAACCATCAGCAATACTAAGAAAACTCTTCCTTGACATGCCCAATCAAGCATGAGAAAGACACTACAAGACTTGTGTTGAAATAATAAAATAGGAACACCCAACCAAAAACATACTCTGTTCAGCAAGCGGAATAACAGTTTTACTTTCCTACAATGCAACTCATATTTTTACCACACAAATATGTAATTTTGGATAATTTTCCTCAATAAATAAATGAACAACTATAATATTTTTATCCATTTGTTTAATTGGGTTCTGTTTATCTAGTTTTATGACTTTTTAAAATAAGATCACATTTTAGGTCATATTTATGCAAAAATATTGAAAAATATATCCTTTAAGCACCTGTGTATATACTCTGATTCACACTCACTTTTCTCCTTTCTCTGTGGTTATATACAACTTTGTTCATTTGTATAAAATAATTAATAGTATGAAGTTTCCTACAGAAATAACATGCCATTTCTATATAAATATTATTTTAACTTAAATACTGGTTTGATTTTAACTGAATGTTTTTGTTATCTACAATTATAAAAAATATATGAAACTTTTTAAGAAGTGTATAATAAATGCATATTTTTAATATTGTAGCTTCCAAATTACAAAAACTTTAAAGGAGCAATCCAAGAACTTGGTCAAAATCAATATGTAGTGAGTGGAGAAATATTTGTGGTTGATAGGAACACAGTAGAAATTACAGAACTTCCAGTTCGAACATGGACTCAGGTAAATATTTTTGAGGCAATTTTAGACTTAAAATATGTCTACTATTTTCTTTGCATTTTATTTTCATTTTAATGTCTTTACAGGTTTACAAAGAACAAGTATTGGAACCAATGTTGAATGGGACTGAAAAAACACCAGCATTAATTTCTGATTACAAAGAATATCACACTGATACAACTGTGAAATTTGTTGTAAAAATGACAGAAGAAAAACTTGCTCAAGCAGAGGCTGCTGGACTCCACAAAGTTTTTAAGCTTCAAACAAGTTTAACTTGTAATTCTATGGTAACTTTCCTCTATGTTTGACCTTCAGACCAGTAGCTGTTTACCTTTTTTCAGTGTTACACTAGTAATAATATATTCTGTGCAGCACATGACTAATGTTTATCTTTGTATATTTTATACAAAAAATAATATTCTCTCTTTGCTTCCATATTAAACTTTTTTGTTCATACAGATGGACTAAACGTATTTGATAAAATAATATCACAGCTGTCCTAGGCTTCCAAAATGTGCATAGAAGAACATAGAACCCTTAGAAGCGCTACAAGGAATTCCTAAGGAACCTAGTTTTGGTTCCTTGTTGTGTTCTGTTCCTTGTGGTCTAGCTTCCTTGACTTTTTAAGATCAATTTCAGATTTCTTTGCCACTTTAAGTTATGGATTCTACGCTGCTGTGTTAAATCCAGTTGGATTTTATGAAGCCAAAACATCTTTCAAGCAATGTGCCAGAGTTATAGCTCTGCAAAATCAACTTAACTAAGCTGCACCATATATTCAGTGAACCCCCAAAATATTTTCTGCATTTTACTTCTACAATATTGTCCCCAAAACATCAAGAGCTTTTACTCTTGCTTACTATAATGTTTTCTGCTGTTCTCTTGGGGGGAAAAAGGGTGTATTAAAATTAGCTCAGTCCTTGTGGTGAGGGAAATTGAAACTATGGCTCATATTTCCTCATGTATAACACAATATCTGGGCAGGGCAAGCTAATTAGTCTTTCTAGGTGACCAGATGGTGGAAATTTCAGACAATGTAGTCTGATTCTCAGTCAGAGTTATAATTAAAAATGATGTTTACAAGTCTTCCAAGTGAGGTGATTCTAAGCCTTACTAGGCTTACATGACCAACATATTTTCTCTTCCTTTCATCCCCCTTTCTCCTTTCCCTCACTTTTTTTCTCCTTTTCTCCTTTTAAATATGCACATGCTACTTTCTGTTTTCTTTTGCTATTTCTTCGTTAAAGTTGGTTGGAATATAATGACCATAATGCTAACAAACCCAAGCAGGACTACAGCAGATATTAGAATTAATATAATTTAGCAAAGCTTTACATTCTCATAGTGTTCTTTTTAAATTCCAGTATTACTTATAGCATTTTATTTGTTCTAACAAGAAATTAGTTATTATAAAATAATTTCATGTTTATGTTATTCTATCAATATAACATTGTTTTTATTTCTATTTTAGCATATTTGTTATGTTATTAGTCTTATGCTGGTCTATGACTGCAATAAAATTGTTTGAATTTCTGTCCAAGTTGTGAAAAGATATTATTGAGAGATGGATAGTTACTGGGTTTTGCACTACTGGTTAATTTTGCTTATTACCATTCATTGGAAGATCATTCAAGGTTATGACACCACTGAATAAATGGTGGTTACAATTGGTCCTCAGATTACCAGTCCTCCCAGCACCTCCATAGCCATATGATTATGATTTGGGCATTTAGCAAATAGTTTTCACTTATGAGTGGTTGCAGCACTCTGGGATTATGTGATTGCCAATTGCAGCCTCCCTTTCAGTTCCTCCAGAAAGTTAGTCCTGAAGCCAGTAGAGAAGGTGGCAAGTCACAGGACTACGACTTCCCTACCTGCACATTCTTCCCTGGACTTTTGCACACATGCCGGCCACAAGCAATAATATTGTAATACTATATGCAAATAAAATGACTGATTGTAAGTTAAAATCAAATGCTTATTTGACTTTAATTTAATATTTGATACTTTTGAAAAAATCAAAATTTAAAAAAACTATTTAACATTCTTATTTAACATTCTTAATGCATTCTTATTAATTTCCCAAAAACCAGTTTTGTAAATTTCAGAAAAAACAAGTGAAATCTGATTTTTGAATTTAAAGCTGAGAAATTTTAAGACTTTAGTTTTCTATAATTATATTTTTTCTTTAGAAATAATAGCATTTAGTTAACATTATGGAATAATGGAAATAGTTTTTAATCATTTTTTTACATTTCTGCAGGTACTATTCGATCATATGGGCTGTCTGAAGAAATATGAAACTGTGCAAGATATCTTAAAAGAATTCTTTGACTTACGTTTAAATTATTATGGTTTGCGTAAGGAGTGGCTTGCAGGAATGTTAGGGGCAGAATCTACAAAGCTTAACAATCAAGCTCGCTTTATTTTAGAGAAAATACAAGGGAAAATTGCCATAGGTAAGAACAATACAGAATTAAAGGATATTGTAAAATTTATAATTTTCTCTTGAATTGATTATATAT